AAGTTCAACTCTTCTAAAGCCATAGCTATGTCACATTGCATATAGAAAGATTCACTTTCGGCCTCGGATATTACCTCTTGTTCATTTGCCATGAAACAAACATTTGGGTCATGAAGAGCAAATTTGGCTCCTTCTTCATCACTATCCGAGTCACTTGGTTCGGATTCTTCCCATCCGGCATACATAGCCTTCTTCTTCTTGTACTTCATGTACTTTTCTTTGAGCTTGGGGCAATCCTTAGCGATGTGACCCGGTTCATTGCATTCAAAACATTTAACTACACGAGATGAAAACTTGTTGTTAGATCGGGGATTAAATTTTTTGTTCATTTTGATAAGTCTAGAGATTCTTCTAGAGAGATGAGCCACTTCTCTAGAAAAATCGACTTCACTATCCGATGACGAAGATGAGTTGTCACTAGCTCCTTTGAGAGCTATGGTCTTCAATTTTGGTGACGGCTCCTCAACTTCGCGTGATGACACTTCCTCCTTTTCCTTCCCCTTGAGCTTCTTCTCATGCACTTTGAGCTTTCCGATGAGGCTATCAAGAGCTAAGGTAGTGAGGTCATGAGCTTCCTCAATGGCCGTAGCTTTGGGCTCCCATGCCGGAGTCAAGGAGCGAAGTATCTTGTAGTTCATCTCTTGAATGGATAATTGCTTATCAAGACCATGTAATTCATTGATGATATTAGTAAAACGAGAAACATAGCATCAATGGATTCATTAGGAAGCATTTTAAATAGCTCATAATCATGCATAAGCCCACTAATCTTAGATTCCTTAACTTGGGGGGATTCCTTCATGTGTAATACATAATTTTACCCAAATTTCGTATGCGGTTGCACACGTGGAAACTCTATTGTATTCATTACGGGAAAGACCACAAATTAAGGCGTTCATGGCCTTAGCATTGAGATTTGCTAGGTGCCTTTCGTCATCGGTCATGTTCCTGACTTTGGACTTCTCTACATATTTCTTTTCTATGAGCTCTAGGATGTCAAGATCAATGCAACGAAGATAAATTCTCATCCTAGCCTTCCAATAAGTTAAATTGGTCCCGGTGAAGAGTGGTGGTCTAGTGGTGGATTGTCCTTCTAACATATGCATATTCAAAGAGGCCTCCATTAGATCTTTTCTCTAAGGCGGTTAAACCAAAAATTAATATAGAGACCAAGCACTGATACCAATTGAAGGACCCTAGAGGGGGGGGTGATTAGGGTCAAGAGGCTCTAATATGCAATAAAAAGATCTAATACAAGCAAACCACAAAACAGTAATGCGATTAAAGTAAAAGAGATAGGGTTAGGAATCGTTATCCTTTGACGCGCGATGTGTTAACGAGGTTCGGTCCGCTGACCTACGTCCCCGCTCCCCACTCTCGAGGAGAAATCCACTACACACCCGGTTTGGAAGCCGGAACTTCGTCTACACAGCGATTCCCTTTCAATCTCTCACTACACAGTTGATCTCAACAGATCCCACACCCTCACAGTTGATCTACACGAGATCACTCTCACACAATAGTAGAAATGATGCAAGACTCTCTCTTTACAAGACCCTATGACAAAGAGAAAGAGTACTGAAGATGGGAAGTGAATCACACACAAAAACAGAGAGAAAACACAGAAACCAGACTTTGAAAATTTTTCTTAGGAAAACAGCGTCTCTCAGGTTTTTGCAAAAGTTAGGGCTAGTTGAAGAAGAAGAAGTCTGGGTTTAAATAGAAGAAATTAAACATTTTAAAAACACAACTCAATCTTCCCAATTAAGAAAATAATCTCTTCTTCAGACTATTGCCACAGACTGTGCCAATCACGGTTAAGTGATAGCACAGAAACCAAGGTAACCGACCGTTTGAAAAAGCTCTCGGTTGACTGAATAGAATATTGGTCGACCACCAGAACATTCAGTCGACCGAAAAAGTGAATTCGGTCGACCGACCGAAAATCCGGTCGACTGCGATCAGCTATGAAAATTTAGAAAACAAGCAGAGCCATCATCGGTCGACCGGCGCGGTCGACCGATATAAAAATCGAGATTTCGGTCGATCGCACCGGTCGACCGACGACCTCTCTGGAGCCCAGTAACGAATGACCTTAAGTGCGGTCGACCGGTGCGGTCGACCGCATTCTGATATGCTCCAGAAAACAGTTTTGATTCAAACTAAAATATTTAGAAAATATTTATATGACCTCTGAAAATTATGAAACTTTGTAAAATGTTTTTGTAACGTCCGGCCCCGGAATCCCAGAGCCGGTACGCTATTAGATCTGACGGACTGGCCTCACAAACCACCATATGTCTTTTCAGCACGTTTTGTCCTCACTCACGCGCTCCCTGGAAAACTTCCCAGGGGGTCACCCATCCTAGAATTTCTCCATGCCAAGCACGCTTAACTCTGGAGTTTCTAGGAGTTGGGTTCCCAAAAAGAAGATGCATCTTGATGGTATGAGTATTTCAATCGAATCTATTAATACTAATCACATCACCCTCTCAAGGGTTAGGGTATTACAGTTTTTAATACTAAAAACAATCTGTTTGGAAAAAGAATTTTGCAGATAGGTCCTCATACTTGTGAAAAATAGTATTTTGCGAAAAACGCTTAAAAGCTTAAGTATGAAAATGTGTGTGTGAGTCCCAATAGCTTCAAGTGAATTCAATAACTCTTTTCCTACATTCTAATACTAGAGAGAGAATAAAAACTAGCTAATATCCTCACATAGAATATAATCTTTGAGTCTTGATATAGCTTGAGTTTGGATGAAGCTTTTATATGAATTTGTTGTTCTGGAAATAACATTGCTTCATCACTATGCCTCCTCCTCCTTTGGATATCATCGTTGTAGCGTATATTCCATCCAATCCTCCATGAATGGCACTAACAAGCTTGATAAATGAATTTACTACATTTGCACTCAATAAGCCATTAGTACCGTTAATAGTGGTTGTAAAACATCATCAAAACATAAGGGCTAACAATCTCCACCTTTTTTATGATGACAACCAACCATTATAAGAACAAAAATAAAATAGCTTATAGATAGGTGCTCCCCCTATCTATGAGCTCCCCCTAAGTATATGCAACAAATGAGGAGATTTCTCTCCCCCTTTGTCACCATCAAAAATAGGGTAAAGAGAAATAAAAAAATGCAACTAAACAAGCAAGCAATGTAGAACTTTCACATAGTGCATAAGCCCAAACCATTTCTTATGCGACAAAAATCATCCTCTCCAAGAGGCTTAGTAAATATATCTGCTAATTAAGATTTTGTGTCAACAAATTTTAGGGATACATCTTGTCTCTCTACATGATCGCGTAAGAAATGATGGCGCACATCAATATGCTTGGTTCTAGAATGCAAAACCGAATTTTTGGAAATATTTATAGCACTTGTATTATCACAAAAGATTTTAATATTTTGAAAACTCAAATCATAGTCAACTAAGCTTTGTAGCAGAGAATATATCCCGATGACTGTGATAACCAAACGCAAGTGAATAACAGTAAGGGGCCTAACAGTAAACATAACATTCAATCGATAAACCTAACAACCAAATAGTAACCTTAACATCAAAACCATGACCTTAACATTTGTAACGATATACTTGACAATAAATCCATGTGCATGACAATAAAACGCTAAACTATATAGGCTCGTTCCAGTATAAGATTTCTTAGATTCTGACTGTATGATAGCATCAACCATTTGAATGCTAATAACCTTATCTATTCCCCATTGTCAATTCTCTAAGTTCCATAAATTGTGCTTGAATATAAATGGCTTCCACCAAAGAGCTTTCCAGCAGCCTATTAAGTTTATAGAAAGCTCTTTGGAGAAAGCCATTGCTATTCAAGCCTATCTGATAGAACTTAGAGAAAATGACAATGGGGAATAGATAAAGGTAATAATATTCAAAAAAGTTTGATGCTATCATATGGTCAGAACCCAGAAATATTGAAGAAGTCTTCATCAGCGTGAGGGCTAGCCGTGATCTTCTGGTTTATGAGATTGGAGAGGGGAGAGCTTAGGATGATCGAGAAAATAGTGAGGACAAATAGAATAGCGGTGATGGGAAGATAAAGAAGATGTAAAGGCGAGGAGAAAGGTTATATAGTTCGGTTCTGTATTGGAACAATCCGAGGGATGGTTATATTACTCTACTACCTTGGGAACTATGAAAAGCATTGAATGCAGTCAAATCAAAAATATCTCGGTAATCTTGATAGCCAATTGCAAGTGAATAATAGTAACCTTAACAACAAACAAATAAAATTAACTTCCAAGTAATAACCTTAACAACTAAGCCAAAACTTCAATATTAAAGTGATGAAATTGACAACCAAGTAATAACCTTAACAACCAAGCCATAAAACTTAACAATATTAATGATCTACTTGATAATTTTAACAATCGGTGACACTGACAACAAAGAGCAGTGGATAACAGGTGGATAACAGTAAACTTAACATTCAATCGATAAACAATATCAACCAATTCAAAACTTCAACATTAAAGTGATAAACTTGACAACCAAGTAATAACCTTAACAACAAAGTCAAAACTTTAACATTAAAGTGATAAACTTGACAACCAAGTAATAACCTTAACAACCAAGTCAAAACTTCAACATTAAAGTGATAAACTTGATAACCAAGTAATAACCTTAACAGCCAAGCTATGACCTTATCACTTGTAACGATATACAGGACAACAAAATCCATATACATGATAATAAAACGCTAAACTATATAGGCTCGTTACAGCTTGCACGATTGTAACCCTCCATGTTGCATCGAGAGCACTTAATAGGATGGGTGTTCAGCGACCTATTATTTATTCGTCTAGTGCATGGTCTGCTACATCTTTTTTTGGTGAGAGGAGGCTTTAACACTCACTCTTCTGGTGGTACAAAGCGCTTCTTGTAATCTGGGATGGGAAAGATGATCGATGCATAACTTGCTCTGAATGCGTCAATAGTCATGTACCAATCGCAATATTGTTAAATTTCTCGTCCCATCAATGTAATTACAGCGCACGCATGTTTGCAAAGAATGCGGGTGATGTCCCTGGACCTGCAAGAACAAGTCCGATTCTTCAAATCTACACGGCAAGTTTTATTAGACTCGACCTCCATAATATCTTCCGTCGAATGTTTAATTGCCAAGCAGCTACCATGCTGAATATTATCACACAGCACCATCTCCGCTTCCAGGCATAAGTATCCAGACCATTTCTGACCCACTAACCTCCTTTCATGCATGCGCTCCATTATTTGCTTCCGTATGGTCTCAACCAAAGGTAAGATTCGCAACAATTGTGCCTTTCTTATCCAGCTGTTAAAAGACTCAGCAACATTTGAAGTAACATGGCCATACATTAACAACAAAACACTAACATTAACAATAAAACCATAAACTAAACAATAAAGACCTAACCTTAACAACAAATATTCTAAACTTAACAGCAAAACCCTAGCAGAATAACTCTAACCATAACAATAAAAATCCAACCCTAGTAGGATAACTCTAATCTAAACAACTACAACGGTGCTGTAACAAAATAACGTTGAAACCAAGCTATCTTACCTTATACCAGGAAAATGTACATTTGCCCATCTCTCCGGGGAGTATTCCATTACAGTGACGTAAGCCCTGTGATCGATCGCTGCTAATTCTTTCATGTCATTATCCTATTCAGATATTGTGAACTTATAAGCAGCAGATTATAACAGCTCACCCAACGTAGTCGCGACATTTGCCTTATGCCCAAAATCCTTCATCTTCTTTTTGAAATTCTCGACTAGATACAGAACACACCTTAAATGGAATGCATCTGGAAAGAATTTCTCGACTGCTGCCCTAATACCCTTGTCGGCATCGAAAATCATTACCAGTCGATGTGGAGGTTGGTAATAATTTTCCCTATCATACAGTAACGTCCATAATCCTTGTAAGAACCATTTCCAATTAACCTCATTCTCTTGGTCGCATACGCAATAAGCAAGGGGAAATATTCCCTGGTTGCCGTCATACCTAGTAGCACTAAGTAGTATGCCTCTGTAACGATCTTTAATAAATATTCCATCCAAAAACAATAGAGGCCTATACCCAGCAATGAACCCTTCAATACAGGCATTATAACTAATGAACAATCGCTTGAACCTCCCGTCATCAGCATCAATAACAACACGACTCCCTGGATTAGTTGCATGCACCATGGATTCATACCTGCATGAATATAACAACAAAGCAATACATTTAGCAAAGGATTCATAACCATAACAAATAATCTTAAAACTTCATAACCAACACGTATACTTAACGATGAACCAATAACTTTAATAACTAATACGTATAGTTAGCAACCAAAATGTAAGCAGTAGATTTAGCAAAGGATTCATAACCATAACAACTGATCTTCAAACTTCACAACCAACACGTATACTTAACGATGAACCAATAACTTTAACAACTAATACGTATAGTTAGCAACGAAAACGTAAGCAGTAGATTTAGCAACGAATTCATAACCATAACAACAGATCTTCAAACTTCACAACAACCCGTATACTTAACGTCGAACCAACAACTTTAACAACTAGTACGTATAGTTAGCAACCAAAACGTAAGAGTGATTTCAGAAGAATAAAAAAGATAAGGACCATCTCAGTGAATTGTAAGCCTCATCATAGTCACTGAACAGGTCCTGTTGAGCTGTCTCCTTGCTCCACCACGCTTTACTATAGTTAATCTTGATGCCAAAAATAGAGAGCATGTCATTCTTGATATCAACCGCACGAAGATCTGGCCTAACCTTCAAAACAGCTTGTATTTGGCTAGTAATGAACTTCCTTGATGCCCTTGAGTTGCCAGCATTTGATCCATGTTGACCGCAAGTGTGGGTAGACTCGAAATTCTTTATGGACATGATAGACAAATTTCTGAGTGGGGAAGCAAACAACATCCAAGGGCAACCATGTGTGTGCTTGAATCGGCAATAGACTCTTATGCGTCTTTGTTCATTGTGGTAAAAATCATACTTGAACCGTTTAGCAATTGAATAGTATTGAAGTGCTAATCTAACTTCAACAGCACTATCAAATTTCTGACCAACTTCACGTATGGAGGTGTGTCACTCAGTTGGGATCTTTGTTTGGTGATTAAGCATGTCTTCCAGCAGCATGATTGAGTCGCTGGTGGGGTTGTCATTAGGAATACGCTCATCATTATAGGTTTGGATGAACGTGGTATCTGCGCACCGCGAATTTTCTGTCGGTATTGTCCTAAAGTAGTAATAAAAATACATAGCCTCAGCAACGAACTGATAACCTTAACAACGAACTCATAAACATAATAGCCAACACTTATTCTTAACAACTAACCCTTATACTTAAGGACAGACTCGTGACCTTAACAACAAATGCATATACTTAACATCAAACATCTTATCTTAGCAACCAACTAGTATACGTAACAACCAACAAATAACCTTAACAACCAGTGCTTAACATAACCTTGACAACCAACACATTACCTAAGCAACCAATGCATAAGGTTAACAACTAATGGCAAAACCTATCAGTGAACTCAAAAGGAAATCTGGAGTGTAATTCCTACGCAGTTTCCGGCATAGTCTGCGTGCTCTGCGAAGTTGAGGATTCCCAAGTGGAGGTAGCATACAAATTCGCGTCTGTAAATCCATTACGCCGACAATACTCGAACATCAAATTTAAGTCATCGTCATTGTCAATTGAAATACTGAATTTCTTTTCCCTTTCGCATATGAACTTCAGTAAAAGAGATTGCATTGGTATTTTAAGCCTTTCCGCCACTTGATATCTCAAGCTGTTTATTTCTGTATTCTCTTTGATAACGATGAATACACCGTCACCACATTTGTTGCTTTTTGGGTTCGTTACCACGCATAGAAGAGATCCATCCACCATTTTATTACAGGGAGTAGTTGAAGAATCAAAGAGGCCTTTATTGAGGAGAATTAAGTGGAAGGAACAAATTAGTTAGGGTAATAGAATGGGGAGGAACTCAGCGATTTTAGCTGGAAGAGGAATATATCTGGTGATAATTTTGGAGGAAAATAGGAATCCCCCCCCCAAAAAAAAAGTTATTCAAATCACCATTTAATGCATACAGTCAAAACGCCATGTTTCCAACGTGAGAGGGTGACGAACACAAGCTGTGAAGGGTATTTTGGGCATTTCAAGTGAGGTTTAAACGGAGTTATGCCTGGGGATTCATTGTTGGGGTTGGAAGAAAATCGCGGGCGATTTTGGGGGCAAATCACCCGTTGAAAAAGTCTTGGGGGGGGGAGCACGTTTTCTTGTATTTTGGGGGCTGGAAGCATTTTCCATGAAAATATGCAAGCAAGATTGCAATAAATCTTAAGAAATAGATTAGCACAAAAAGATAACTTGGATCTTTAACTCAAGGCGATTAAACCTTAAATCAAAGAGCACCAAGCTCTGATACCAATTTAAAAAACCCTAATGCCACTAGGAAAGAACCCTAGAGGGGGTGAATAGGGTTTATGCTAACATAATTCGATTTATGCCAATTTAAAACTCACTAACAAATATCCTAGCAAATATGATATGCAACAAGATATGTGTGCAAGGATATACAAACTAACACAAGGGTGAAATAAGATATAAGTAATATAGTGGATAAAATAAACAATGAGAGAATGACAATAAAGATGAACACAAATATAAGTGCGCCAAGCCAAACTCAAACACAAGATATGATCACGGAGTTCGGTCCCCATGACCTACGTCTCTGTTCCTCATCTCGAGGAGATCTCCACTATCATAATCGGGTTTTCTACGCTCACCTGAATAATGTTTACACTTCACACTCGGTTTTCTAGTTCACCAAAAACTTTACAATCACTCACAATGTAAACACACTAACTATCACCTCAAGTGTTCGTCTCTAGCCCGTGTCTCCCTCAAGTGTTAGGAATTATAACCTCTTTCTAGGTAATACCACCTACCCCACTCCTCTTGGGATAACCTCGTCTCTCACCACACACTAGTGTAATACAAAGTGAACCTCACAATAATAGCTTAATACAACAAATTTGTTCTCTGTAATGGATGAGAACTCTATGTAGGCTCACACTCAATTATTACAACTCTCATAACCCCAACAATACTATGTATGAAAATACTTAAGCTCAAGTGGGTATGTGTAGATAATGAGTGAAATCAATACTAAACTCAAATATGAAATCTAGCTTAAAACAATATTAATCAAACAAGTATATAAATGTAAAGCTAGAGTTTGTGTTTAGAAAACTTCTCCAATGAATAACAAGAGAGAGAGAGAGAGAGAGAGAGAGAGAGAGAGAGAGAGAGGGGGAGAGAGAGATGAGTTGAAGCTCAAATACCAAAGGATGATCTCTTCTAGCACTTGTGAAAATATATTCACAAACAAAACTTATATACACACTAAACAAACTTTAAACCCTTGTTAAACTTTCTTAAAACATTCTTTTGGTAATTTTTGGTCTGAGGTATGAGGGGTAATTATAGAGACCCCAAGACACAAGAAAATCAAAGAAAAAAGAACAAAAAACCCAAAACTAAAACAGACTGGAAAAAACTAGCCGTTACAATATCAGTCGACTAATGGCTTTCATTAGTCGACTGATGAGCTGACCGTTAGAGGCATTTTCCAGCTCATCAGTCGACTGACGATCTTATCGGTCGACTGATGACCTCATTAGTTGACTGGTTAGTCGACTAAAATAAAATAAAAACTTTTTATTATTCCAGGTAATTTCTTCAGTCGACTGAACACACTCATCAGTCAACTGATAACACTGTATCAGCCTGATTGAAATAGAAAATCTGATTTTTGAAGTGCCTTTAAAAATAGTAAATAAATTCTAAAAAATATAAAACTTTGAAAAATATTTATAAACATGTTAATGAACATGTTACAAAAAGAATTTTTGGAATTGTACTTCACATTTGTTAAAACTCGTTATTTTTCAAAACTAGTCCAAAACATGAAAATACAAAATACATGTTTTTGATATTTTAGCTAAACCATATTTTGAAATTTTATAAACTGATTATATAGACTTGATAAAAGATACAAACTATTATTGTTAAGTCTATAAATCAAAAACTCAATATTATGCAAAAATAAAGTTTTGCACAATATGCATTTGACAAAATGATAAATATGAAACATGTATATATATGTAAACAAGAATATATGTTTCATACTTATATAAACTTGTAAACTGTAAAACAAAAAACGTGTATATATATGTTTCAATAAGCCCTTCTTGGTAAACTTGCGGATGAAGCTTGAACTTAGATCTTCAACTTGTATTGCAAGGTTTCACTCTACTAATCTTCCAACCTCCATTGGATATGATCATGAAAGCTCGATTCCATCCATCCTCTAACTTAATGTTTGCCTAGAATAAATACAAAATACAAATACTAGACAAACAACATTAGAAGTAAATTGTTTGTAAATTATCATTAAAACAAAAGGACCCAATGGGACCTGGGAAAGAGACTATATAGGGAGTGAAATAAAAAAGCTGAAAGTTGGAGGGGTTCGTGATAATTTGCTAGAGGTATTAAGAGGAGCTCACTTATCAAAGGTGTTAATACACGAAAATAAGCTTTCCAAACTGCTAATTTTCTTCTTTATGAAATATTTCCATTAGAGGATATCAAATTTTTACTCATTAGAAAATCTAAGTTTTATGGACTACTTAATGTAGAATTAGAGAAGTGTAAACTATTTTCTATCTTGGTTTGTGTCTCTCAGGCACTATAAACTATTGAAGTATGAATAAAATATTTCATCTATGCCTTTACATATGCTCACATAACACCAAGTTATTGTTAACAAGTCAATTAAATAATGATTAATTATTAATTTAATTAGAGCTACATAATTAATTACTTCAATTTTTATTTAAAACCACTCTAGATGAGATATAAACATTATTTGCCGCTAATAAGCACTAAAAAATTAATTTTTAATTATAATCTTATACTATTAAAAATCTAATGTTTAATATAAATTTGTACAATTATAATCTAATTGGAGTTGCATTATTACATAAATAATAATTCCTACAGTATATTAAAACATCATACACTTGATAATCTAATACTATTTTAATAATCGATTTAATTATTAATTTATATTTAATTTATTTAATAATCTAAAGAATAGTTATACTATAGTATAAACCTTTAATTAATGTGATTTAATAAGATTAGGAGTTATGATAATAGAGTAAATTGGTTAATTTTATGAAAGATGAATGGCATTTTTGGGAAATAAAAGTTTTCTAGTACTCCCTCTTTTAAAAGGAGAATGATATTTGTTAATAAGTGTTTTTATGTTAATTTGTACTAAATAAAGCGTTAAGAAATAATAGCTCAAAAGAACTTAAAACTTTCTCATCTTTTAACCATTGTTAAAGCCCAAGATCAAGATAAAAGAAGCCCATGGAAGCCCACACAAAAAAGCCAAGGAACTTTAGCCAAAATAAGAGGAATCGAAGAAGTATCGATAGGAATATCGATACTTGATCGATACCTGCATCGATACTAGTATCGATACCCAATAAACAGTTACAAATCAAATGCTAAAATTGTGTAACTTGAGGGTTAAGTTTAATCTAAAGACTAATATTGATTGGAATACTCTATAAATACATTAGAGAGTGAGAGTTTAGAGTGTGAAAAATTCTATAAAAACTCCATTTGGAAAGAAGGATTACTCTTAATTGAGAAGACCTTCTAAATTGTAAACTTTATTTGTAATCAATAAAAAACGTTTCTCCACCTTTTAAATTTCTTCTTCTTCTTTGTCGATAGCATTGAAGATTAAGATTTGGTTTTAAGGGGCTAACCCCTTTCAATGTAAATT